CGTTCAGAAGGTCCTGGCCAGCCATGCACCCCAGATGCCCGGCTGCAACACGGGCACCACAATAGCAAGGTGCCTCCGGCTCCCAGCCCAGGGGCCCATCCCACCCCTCCCGGCGCTGACACCCAGCAGGCAAAAGGAAAGCGCGGAGAGGTGGGAGTCACAACTAGACAGAGCTTTATTAACAGCGGCAGCCAGTCACACACACAGGCAGGGGGAAGGCGACAGCGCCAGCCAGTCACACACACAGGCAGGGCAAGCGCGACCAGAGGCCCCAACCCCGGGGCAGTGTCCCACGCTCACACCCGAGAAGGTGCCCCCCAAAGAGCACGGGGCGCTCATGGAGCCCGGGGCTGGAGGCCTGCAGACGGAAGCACATCGCAGTGCTGAGCCTCGAGCAGCGGGCACGAGGCAGCGCGTGGGACAAGGGGCTCCGGGCGCAGGAGAAAGTGCCATCACGCCAGTCATTCGCAGGCAGGGAAGGGGGTGCAGGAGGCGGCTTATTCACAGCGGAGAGAAGCAGGGGGGCTGCGCAGAGCTGCCCATGCAGGCGGCAGGGGGCTGCATGCTGGGGACACTGGCATCGCCCAGAGCAGGACGAGGGCAGAGCAGAGCAGCGCTGCCCACCTGGCATGCACCCCCCCATATGCTGACCACACGTGTGCTCCGGGACACGCTGTCCGGGCAGCCAGTGGACGGACACAGCCCCCCTCCTGCCAGAGCTGGGGCAGGGAGGGGGGAAGTCTCCAGGCACCGGACCCTGCACAGCTCGGCACCTGCCCTGCGCTGCCCGGGGGGAGCCGGAAGGGGCCGCGGCCAAAGAAACTAGAACGAGAAGTGACAGCGAGATGTGCCGGGAACACCAAACCGAAACGCTATGGGGGTGGGGGGGCGCGGGGGCTACTCCTTGGCCCGGCCAACGATGGCCAGGATGTAGAGGAAGATGTTGATAATGTCCGTGTAGAGGTTGAGGGCTGCGAAGATGTACTCCTCTGGGCTCAGCACCAGCTGCTTGTTGCCCAGGATCATCTGGGTGTCGACCGCCAGGAACTGCAGGAGACGAGACTCTGCGTCACCCCGGGGCCGGCTGCAGGGCGAAGGGGCCGCGCCAAGACCCCCCACCTCCCTCCGGGCACAGCCAAGAACGGCACTGGCTCTTGAGGTACCCACCACCCAGGTGCCAGGCGCCCAGCCCTGCTGCTTGCCACCTAGCCCTTGCAACCTGGGGGCCCCCCCAGCCAGAGGGAGGGGGCACGGGCAGCTGCACTATGAAGTGCCGCCCACCCCCGGACCAACAATACTGCAGCAGGGTTTGGGGTTGGCAGCTCCGGGGCGGCCCAGCACAGGCTCTGCAGGGGTCTGCATCCCCCATGTCCTGCACCTGCCCCGAGCCCCACGCCCCAACCTGGAGCCCTCCCCTCGCTGCGCAGGGAGCAGATACCAAGGATGCCTTGCAAGAAGGGTCTCCGAGCTGTGGCAGCCCGGGGCCGGGGGGCTGGCAGCTGCCTGGGCCCCGGGGCTATACGCCCCCCCACTCCCATAAAGCTCCTGCTGCTGTCTGTCTGTCTGTCCTTTGATCAAGGTGCTGCGTCTCGCTTTGCTCTCAGCAGTTCTGTGCTAAACAAGCCCTGCAGGGAAGTGGGGCTGGCAGGCAGCTGCGGGGTCACATCCAGTCCAGCCCTGCCTGAGGCAGGATCAGCCCCGTCCAAACCCCTTGGACACCTCCGACGAGCTGGCTGAACCCCTGGGGGCAGGGGATGGACCCTGGGGCAGGACTAGGACATGCACCACCCCCAGCCCTGTGCAGCCCCCCCGGGAGAGACGGGCACTCACGCAGGTGAAGAGCAGGGCGCCAAGCGAGGCGTAGACGATGTCCAGGATGCGGTTCCGGATGAAGATGCACAGGATGGAGAAGACGATCAGCACCACCAGGCAGACGAGCAGCACGCCCCGGCACGAGGTGAAGTCATACTTGGTCTGCAGGGGTCATGCCAGGCCCAGGGTCAAGGTCAGGACCATGGGAGCCTGCCAGGGTGGAGGGGAGCCCAACCCCCAGCCCCAGCTACCAGAAACTCCAGTTTCATAGTAGCTCGGGTCAGGAGGGACCTGGACAGATCGTCTAGCCTGACCCCCGGCCACAGGCAGGAATGGATGCTGGGCTCACAAGACCCCAGACAGGTGGTCGTCCAACCTCCTCTTGAATTTGCCCAAGGTAGGGGCGAGGACCACTTCCCTGGGAAGTTGGTTCCAGATTTTGGCCACCCTAGCTGTCAAATGTTGCCTTCTGATCTCTAACCTAAACCTGTTCTCCATCAGCTTATGACCATTGTTCCTCGTCACCCCAGGTGGTGCTGGGGAGAAAAGGGCTCTGCCTGTTTGCTGCTAATCTTCCCTGATGAGCTTGTAGGCAGCCACCAGATCCCCCCTCAGCCTCCTCTTGCTGAGGCTGAACAGGTTCAGGTCCCTCCGTCTCTCCTCGTAGGGCCTGTCCTGCTGTCCCTGACCATGCGGGTGGCCTCCTCTGGACCCTCTCCAGGCTGCCCACATCCCTCCTGAAGTGCGGTGCCCAGAACTGGACGCAGTACTCCAGCTGCAGCCTGACCAAACTTGCATAGAGGGGGAGGATCACCCCTCTGGACCAGCTTGAGATGCATCTGTGGATGCACGACAAGGTACGGCTGGCCTTGCTGGCAGCGGTGGCTCATGTTCATCTTGGAGTCAATAATGACTCCAAGATCCCTTTCCGTTTGGGCCAAGTGCTCCACCCTCCGGGAAGGAACGGACCCTGCAGGACCCAGCCGCGGGCTGCAGCAGAGCCCCAAGCACAGCCCGGGGCTGCCACGCCACGGGGCACTTGGCTCGAGAGCAGCACCCCCAAGACTCACCTGCAGCGAGAAGAGGACGACGGTGAAGCAGACGATGACGGTGATGCCCACAGCCATGATGACGGCGTCGGTTTGGTAGAAGCTGGCGATCATGCCCACCATGTAGGAGAGGCTCACGGTCAGGATGGACTGCGGAGAGCAATGTGCGTCAGAGGGGCTCTGGCAGGGCACGTGGGAATGTGTGGAGCGGAGGGGGCCTGGCCCCAGCTCCAAGACATGCCCCCAGACTCCTTCAAGGTCTGCAGGTGAGTCTCTGTCCCCTGGAGGGGGGCCCTGTGTTGGACACTTGCCCCGAATGGGGCACAACCAAGTGGGCTACAGATGCTAGAGGAGAGATTGCAAGGGGCTGCCTTGCAGCATGGAGTCTGCTGGGCTCCTGTCTAGACACAGCCGGCTCGGGCGCAGAGGGCATGGTCACCAAGCACCGCACTGCAGGACAGAGACCCCCACCCTACAGTGACCCAGTGTGCCCCCTTCCCTGGGTAAAGCAAGGGGGTCACACACAGGCGCTGGGGAGCCGGTCTGAGCCCCATGGGTCATAGGCAGGGAAGGGACGATGCCTCTTTCTCCCTCCAGTCTTGATCCCAGGGAGGCCGAGCTGCGGGCAGGCCGCGGCCGGGCACAGACCGCTCCAAGGGTGCTGGGCACGAGGTGCCTGGGGAGGGCAAATGGCTCGGTCACACCCCGAGCAGCGGCAGGCTCCCGATCAGAGCTGGGCAGGGGGTGCTGGCGCCCCGGGGCTCACCAGGGCGATGAGGTTCCAGGGGTGCTTGCGGCGGAAGTCGCCGCAGCAGCTGAGCACGATGAGGGAGATGAAGAAGATGGCGTAGGAGACGTAGTACGTCCAGACGTTGTGCTGCACGAAGCCCCGCACATCCTTCACGAAGGTGAAGATGGCCACGAAGGAGAAGGTCACCGTCAGCTGTAGCGTCAGCACCAGGAACACCTGCGCGGGCCACACAGGTCAGAGCAGGGGTTTCTTGACCCTGACCCCCCACCCCGGTCCCAGCCCCACACCGATACAGGCCCGCACCCACCTTGCGGATGAAGGCCTGGCGGATGTTCTTGTCCTCCCAGTGGGAGCCGGGGAAGTCCTGGTTGTCGTAGTAGGAGGGCGGCCCCTCCTCATGGTAGGTGCTGTGCAGCGGAGCTGGGGGAGGAGAGAGCAGGACGGGGTGAGCAGCTGCACGGGGCCCCGCTGTGCTGGGAGCAGCCGGGTGCCCACCCCAGTCCCTCGGTGACCACAGCCGGGCGGAGGTCCCTGGCGCTGGGGCCGTCAGCTGTCCCCGGCCACGGGAGCCGGCGCTCACCGATTCTGATGACCAGGGTGCCGGGTCTCCACAGCACGTGGGGAAGCCTCGCTCCGTCTGGCGGCAGCACGGGGAGAGAAGAAACGGGGCCGAGAGCATCTGGGCCGGGGTGCAGGTTGGGCTGGGCTGGGCCAGGCACCCCGTCTGCTCTGCCCCGGGCAGCTCCACGGAGCCACTGCCGCCACGCGCGGGGCCCCGCTGTCCCCACAAGCTGCCAGTGGCCTTCGTGCCGGCCCTGGGAGCGAACGAGGCTCCCAAGCTGCTGGGTGAGGGGAGCCGGGAGCTGCAGCCCGCCCCGTCCCGGTGGCTTGGGGGGCACCGAGGCAGGGGCTGGACGTCAGCACGCGCGGCTGGGCACAGGGAGGCCCTGCAAGGAGCTCCGCGGCTCCCGGCACCAGGCTGGAGACGTGGGCAGGAAGGAGCAGGTTGTGCCGGGGGTCTCGGGGCCTGCGCCCCCCATGGCAGAGCCAGCTGGGCTGCCAAGGGAGTTCGACAAGGGAGCAGGGCGGTTGGGGACCCAGTGCTCCTGCAGCTCTGCTCAGGGCTGCCCGTGCTGCTCTGGAGCATCTCCCCACCCCAAGGAGCAGGCGCGGTCACTCACAGTCTTGGTCCCCTGGGACGATGGGCTGCGGCTGTCCATACGGCGGCTGGGCGTACGGCCCCTGTGGGTAGGGTCCGGGGGGCGGGTACGGCCCCTGGGGGTAGGGCCCCTGGGCGTAGGGTCCAGTCGGCGGGTAGGGTCCGGGTGCCGGCACGAAGCCGGGCTGGGGGTAGGGCGCCGGAGCGAACTGGGGCTGAGGGTAGGGCGCTGCCGGGTAGGGGGGCTGTGCGTAGCCCGGGGGGGCCGGGGGCTGCTGCCCCGGGTAGCCCTCGCCCGACACCAAGAAGCTCTTCTCGTGAGACATGTCCCCGGTGCTCACGGCCGCCCGAGTCCTGTGGAGAGAGCAGAGCGGTAGACGTTAGACCCGGCTCCGTGGGCCTCCCGCCAGCCCCGAGGGACAAGCTGCATGGATGGGGAAGGCCCAAATGGTGCAATGCTCCGGAAGGAGGAGGTTTCCTGTCCAGGGCAGAGCCCTGATGCCAATCGCCCGGCAGCCAGGGCTGAGCTCCTTCCCCTGGCACGAGGAGCGGAGCAGCCCGTCCATCGCATGTCGCGGGGCTGGGAGGCTCCGGCACGTGGCGACCGGGCCAGAAATGCGCCCGGGGGCCCGGCTACCGCTGCACCCGGTGCCACGGGGCTCAACTCGCACCCTGCTCAGCGCTCCCCGGGGGCAGGCAGCCTCGGCGGGTCCGAGCCAGGTGGGCTCGGGCTCCCGTGAGCATCCCCAGGCTGGGGCAGGTCCATGTCCCCTCCCTCCTGCCCCCTGGCACCTCGAGGCTGGGCAGTGCGGGCCCTCTGCCACGGGCACTTGGCTCCCCAGCCCCTGAGCTCGGATCCAGAGACCGAAGGCCCGGGCAGGATGAGAACTGCTGCAGGCTGGGGGGGCGCCGCCCCCCCG